CCAGGACCCTGGGATCATGACCTGAGCCGAAGGCAGATGCTTACCTGACTGAGCCACCCAGGCGCCCTATTTGTTTAAAATTTTTATACAGTAAAATTCAGTCATTTGGTGTTTGGGTCTATGGGTTTTGATAAATGTATAAAGTCAACATACCTACCAATCAAGATACAGAACAGGTACGTTACCCCCAAGTTCTGTCTCGCTGTCCCTTCGAGGTTTCCCTGTTCCTAATCCCTGGTACCACTGATCTGTCCTCCAGCCCTTCAGGTTTGTTTTTTCTAAAATGTCATATAAATGGAATCATACAGTAGGTAGCCTTTGAGTATGGCTTCTGTTTGCACAACTGTGTTTTGAGATTCGTTCATATGTTATGCATATCAACTGTTTATTTCTTCTGTTTATTACTAGCGTTCCATCATATGCTATTCTGCCATTTATTTATCCATTCTTCCATGTGTTTTAACAGCAGCCCTTTGAACTATGTCCCTATTAGACAGCAAGGAACTAGGGACTGGAGATGTTAAATAGCAGAGCTAAATTTTGATATAACTCCCAAGTCCAGGGTTCTTTCCCACCCCACCCAAGAGGTGATTTGGTCCAGTGACTCAATTAGCATTTCTTGACTGCCCATCCAAGAGGTTGTCAGGCTTCCTGAGTTGCTGGAGAATTCCCTTTGCAGAACTGGGGCCTGAGGATTGATGAAGGAAAGTATACACCCCAGTGTGTGACTCACCATATGTGCTCCTCTTTTTCTGTCTGGTGACAAGCTCACCAGTATTGGCAGGATGGAGCTGCCCAAACCCATACAGTATTTAATAAAAATTTTCTAAGTCTGTCCCAGGAGTTGACTGCATTGAGTCTGCTAGGATAGTGACATCGAGGCCTCCTGCAGGTAGGAGTGCAACCATCGTGTTTCACTCCCTGGAACAACCAGGAAGGAAAGACCTAACCCCTGGGTCTCCCTCCACAGTGATGTCGGAGCTTAGCGATGAAGCTAGTGAGCCAGAACTCCTGAACCGCAGCTTGTCCATGTGGCATGGGCTGGGTGCTCAGGTCAGCCGGGAAGAGCTGGCCGTCCCCTTGGATCTTCACACAGCTGCTTCCATCGGCCAGGATGAAGTGGTGAAGGAATGTGTGCAGCGGTAAGAGATCTTGGGAAATGTTCCTTCTGCTTAGATTTTGAGTACCGTCTCTGTGGCTTCAGATCCCAGACAGAGCTATCAGTAAGCTCATGGGGCCTCACACAGTCGTAAACATTTCAGGCACACAGATCAATCCCCATGTCTCTTGGACAGTGGTCAGTAATGATTTATGCTGGACACTAATAAGGAAGTCAGTTTGTATTCCTCGGAAGAAAGAGAGGCTTTAAACATTTTTCATAGGCTTATGAAACGTTTCAGGCTTTCTGTAGAGTCACTTAATGGTTTTTATGAATTGCAGAAATGTTCAGACAAAACAAAAATAAAGTTAGAAAGTGATGCCCTGTGGCCTTCTTTCCCCAGAAGGTTCATTTTTATCTCTTTTGCCTTCCTTTCCCTTCTAGCTTTTGCTATAGAGGAGGAAGTGGGGTTTATCTTCCTCTCTGGGGATTGCCACCTGCAGTCTTATACATATGTTAATGTAGTTTTTAGAAAAGGACCCATCTCCTCCTCTCCATCCCCTTACTGACCTACCTCCTTGTTTCAGTTTTTCATCGATAACTTGGAGAAACGACCTGTGTCCATACCCATATGTGCCTTTTTCAGTTCCTGGGGAGCCAAAGCAAAGCCTCATTTGAGTCCCAGGCTTCTGGTTCCCAAGTCCTAGCCATCACTTATGAATATCTGGCCAGTCGAGTACAAGTACAGGCCTGTGGTAAGGGACAGTCTGTCGTACTCCTGTACCAGGTGGCCTTAGGAATGTGCAGCTGGGTACACAGCACATTCTCTCATAGGGTCACTGAGACCCCAGTCACAATTCTGCTCCTTCAGCATTCTTGGGCTTTTAAGCCTTTGGGTGTGCTGTTTAAATGCATGGTCCCAAATGGCTCCACAGGGGAGAGGGGAAGTGTCTGTGCTCTGATTGGGATTGTGGCCCTAGCTGACACTGAAGCTTGCCCACAGTAAGCATAGACTGGGGGCCTGAGGGCAGGGGAGGCCTCCGAAGGGAGGATTGGGCCCAACTAGACATGTGAGAGCCTCAGAGATGCTCTGCCAAGGGCTAGGCTCTTCTCCATGTGGAACTGAGCACTCCCTCGGTGAAGGTCGTGTGGCCAGGATGAATTGGTCTCTGTGCGCTCTCCCAGCCAGTGGCCGCCACTGCATTCCTAGGATCAGGACCTTCTGGAATGGCTGTGTGGGCATCCCAGAGTTACTAGAAGATGCTAGTGAATGGAAAATAATTGTCTGTGTAGCTTCCTGTGTGCGTACCTCTGAGAGGCACAGACTGGATTGATTGTCAGTCGTTGCCTCTGCTGGAGGCAGGGATTGTGCGAGAGGAAAGGCTGTGGGACATGAACTATTCAGGGTGTCCTGGAAGTGGATGTGATTTCCATGCCCCAATCCCAGACTCTGGGCTTGGAAGCCCATGGTTTTTCTCCTGCGGGAAACGCCTTTCCAGAATTTTGATGGACATGAATGAGAAAGATAGGATTCTCTGGTCAGTGATTTTCCAAGAATGTTTCTGTAGGATGAGGTGACTAGGGAGAAATATTGTCCATTTTCTGAGTCCCTTCCCATTCCCCTTTCCACCCAGCCCCACACTAGCAGATTCTGGTCTGTTGGGAGAAGAAGGCAGTCAGGGCTCCAGGTCACAGTTCCTTGACTCTGGCACTCCGGACAGCCCAAGCCAGATCATTCTCCGCTGGGGACCTGTGCATGTAGGATAACCGGTTAGCCACGTCCCCGGCCTCCACCCCCTAGATGCCAGTAGCTTTTCCTTCTCCAGTTGTGACAACCAGTAATGTTTTCAGACTTTGCCAAATGTCTCCTGGAGCAAAAAATCACCCCTGGTTGAGAACCATCTGTGTAGCTGGGGGTAGGAAAGAAGAGTTGCTGGCCTTGGGTAGGCGGAGGGGCCGATGAGAATGTGCAGTCGGAGGAGGAAGGCGGCTCTGAGGACTTTGCAGAGGCAGCTGTGGGGCAAACCTAGCGGTTTCCCCGCCTGCCTCGCTTCCCCCATGACGTCCAGGGTGGCAGATAACTTCTGCTTCCTGGCTGTATTTCCCGCTCTTTCTCTTGGCCCGGCCTCGCTGCCAGCTTTGGTAAACCTCACATGTGAGATGGCTGGACATGTCTGGCATATCTTGTGTTTGTTTAGGAGAGAGTTAGATTTGAATAAGAAGAATGGTGGTGGCTGGACCCCGCTGATGTATGCCTCGTACATCGGACACGATACCATCGTGCACCTGCTGCTCGAGGCGGGGGTGAGCGTGAACGTGCCGACCCCGGAAGGGCAGACTCCGCTGATGCTGGCTTCTAGCTGTGGCAACGAGAGCATCGCCTACTTTCTCCTCCAGGTGAGTGACGAGGGGACTCAGGCCCAGAGACGCGAGGGGCTCCTGGCCACTCTGGCGGAGACGGGAGCCACTGCAGACCATGGTGTGTGCTTGCTCGGGTCATCACTTTGATTCTTGCAGCGTGATGGCCTGGAGCGCGCCCGCCCCACACAGAGGAGCTGAGGCGGTAACGAGCATTCTGCGTTCTCTTGAAGCAAGGTGCCGAGCTGGAAATGAAGGACATTCAGGGCTGGACTGCTCTCTTCCACTGCACTAGCGCCGGGCACCAGCAGATGGTCAAGTTCCTCTTGGACAGTGGAGCGAATGCCAACGTGAGGTGATTACCGGGTCGTTAGTGGCCGCTGTAATGGAGGAGGGCAGCTGGGGAGGCAGCCACGGGCCAGAGTGCAGGGTAGCCCCTGCTGTGGGCGGAGGGGACAGGCCAGCCCAGGCGCGGGAAGCTTGGGGCTGGTCCCAGCTTTTTTCTGCATCTGTCAGGGGACACTGGGTGCAGCACTTTTTGAGCCTCATTTTCTTTATCTGAAAACTGGGGCCAGCAATACCTATGTCATGGGGTTGTTGGAGGAATTGCATGTTCTGTCACACACCAGGGGCCTGGCATAGTGAATGGCACTTGATTGACATGCATTAAATGCTAATTCCTTTTTCCTTCCTGTCCTTTGTCTATATCGGGTGAGGTGATGCTTTGAAAGCAGTCATGAGTTTTATAAGCTGGAAGGGGTGTTGTCTAAAGCATGTCATGACAATAATCCCCTTTCAACGCAGCAAGTACCACCCCAGCTTCTGGCTGGCACGGTGCCCGCCCCTGGCTGAAGTCACCCCCTGTAAGGTGCACCATAGTTTCACATGCCACTGAGAAAGAAATGCCACTGATTAAAATGCCACTTGCCTATTGGTTTTAAGATAAATTCTGACTTCAGAGATGTGAGGATGTGAAAATGGTGTGTCTTAGAGTGGATGCAACCCAGGATTTAGCTTGCTTCCTGTCTTCTAGACCAGGGTGAGAGATGTGAGGGTCAGGAGGCATCTGGAGACAGTGCTGAGCACAGAGATAAGCATCAGATAGTGGGTGAAGTAAGGACAAGGTAGATGATTAGTCCCGGAGCTCTTGGGAGGGCTCCTGGAAGACGCTGAGCTCAAAGATCGTCTGGATGGGTGGGCGGGAGATGCTGGCTGGCTGTGCGCAGTGAAAGGCAACAGTTGCTATTCGCCTGTAATTAAAACGGAGATTTAAGAGTCAGCCGGTGGAAGCAGCTTAGAGGGAGTGAATATGGGGAGACAGATTGTCTTCAGGAAGAGAGACTAGAGCTGGTGGTAGAAGCAGAAGAATTTATGAGGCTCATGTGTCGATAGGAACTTTTTTCATGTCACTCTGTTCGTTCTGGCGAGAGGGAGACCTGGACGCCTCAGGATGGGTGACGAGCTGGCTTGGGTTTGTCTGCAGCAGAAAAGCTTCTGCCTGGCTCAGCTCCTCTCCGCTAATCGTCTGGCCATGGCCTCTATCTTGCAGGGAGCCGGTATATGGATTTACTCCTTTGATGGAAGCAGCTGCCGCTGGCCATGAAATAATTGTGCAGTATTTTCTCAATCATGTAAGTGACCCTGTTTATTTGCTTACAGTTTAGTCACGGCAGGTGAGGACTCCTGTCGCTGAAATATGGGCTGTAACAGAATTTTCTGCTGCACAGAAATAGCTGCTCTTTATTTATTCAGCACATTTTCATTGTATCTACTGATGCCAAGTGTTGAGTGGCGCTCAGGGGTACAGTGGTGAGTAAAAATAGACACCTAGTCCTGTAATAATTTTGAAAATGCTATTATTTGAGAAGTATGGAAAATATATTTTAAAAAGTAGGTAACACTTGTCATCCCATCACTTAAAAACAACATATAGAGTAAGAATGCTAAGATCTTCCTTCTGAAGCACCCGCGGTTCCTCCCCAAGATGCCCACTTGGTTTGATAGAGACAGCCCAGGACTTCTCTGCTTAGGAAGGTCTGTCTGTAGACAGGTGCACACAAGTTGCTCTTCATTTTGAACAGAGTGGGATTCTTTTTTTTTTTTTTTTTGTAAAGATTTTATTTATTTGA